AAGCAAAAAAGAAGGCGGATTGCAAAGCAGCATAATCTCAATATTCCAGCCATTCCCGTTTCCCTCCTCCGGTCCCCCTCCCCCCCCCATTTTTTTTTTCTTTCCATAAAAATAGAATCCATTTAGTTTATAGTGAAGCATAACGTTAAACTTATTCCCCAAATGTCGTTCACAGGTTTCCTAAACGTTTCTTTTGTTATATAACCACTTACGTGAAACGACGAGGAGGGAAAGGGAAATAATATTGAATTAAATAAAATATAACTTGCTCTCAATGCGTTTTGCTTTTTGTTTCAATTTATTATAGAAAAAAATATTAATTTTCGGTATGTTCGTTTCTTGATGTTTTCATGTTACAAATTGATGAATAATATAAGTTTCATTACAACTAATATTATAACTGAACATTTATAATACTAGTAGTAATAGTAGTGATACTAATGTTCTTAATGATAATCATTATTATTATTATTATTATAGTTTTTGTTATCGTCATTATTATTATAATTATCATTATAATTATCATCATCATTAATAATAACAATACTAATACTAATAATAATGATAATATTAACAATAATCTTAATAACAATAATAATAATAATGATAATAATAATAATAAAGACAATAATAATGATAATGATACTAATACTAATACTAATAGTAATAGTAATACTACTACTACTATTACTAATAATAATAATGATAATAATAAAATAATCATGATAATAATAATAATGGTAATCAAATTTATGATACTGATTTTTCCTACTAATAATATTATTATTATTACTATCATTACCATTATCATTATTATCATTATCATTACAATTATCATCATTATCATTGTTATTATTATTAAGTTTGTTATATTGTTGTTATCATTACAATTACAACTATCATCATTATCATAATTATTTTTTTTATTAGTGGTAGTAGTTATAGTTATCATTAATATTACCATTATTAGGATTATTAGCATTATCATTATTATCAACATTGTTACAGTTCATGTTATTATTAGCATCACAGTAACTCTATATGTGTATGGAAGAGCACAAAGGTTTCTCTTCAAGAAATAAGTCCTCGCTCAAATGTCATTCTCTGAAAGAAAATCGTTTTTCCCATGATAATTAAGAAATTCTTGACACCTCCCATTTAAACATTCTAGAAAGTCTATGGATCTGGGAAATGAAACGCAGCACTGATTAATACCTTTCCTCCATTGACAATGAAATCTTAAAATAGATTCCCCGTAATTTACTCGAGTTTTCTCGTTTCAGTTCTCAATAGGTTGTTGTATTTTTGTTCTGTAAACGCCCAGACGCTCTACCTCCTCCATGAGACTCAGACGAGAGACGTTGTTGCCTAGTTTCCTGCTATTTTTATGGTTAGCAAATTATGCTGTTTCATTATGATTCATTCATTAGCATCTTGAGATTCTCAACACACATTTTAACTTGTACAATACAATGTTATGTAACGTAAATGTTTTGACCTGCCGGATTTTTGCACTGATAGCTCTTGGGTTTTGATCTTTCATTAATAATGTCAATTTTCCTTACGAAACACCAGTGTTAACATCTTAATTAATTCCTTATATGATGTTTTCTTTTTTTATATATATTTGTCGTACATTGTTGCATCTAATGAAAATTAAAATACCTTGTTTTTTTATTGCCTTTATACGTTGTCTCCATTTCATTTATATTTAATATGTTGCAATAACATTTCTTGTCAAGTTGCATAATACTTATTGCATAATTCTATTTTAGGTTTAGAAGTATTCTCTAAATTTGATAATATGATAATTTGTGACTTCTTAGACTCACTGTATTAATAAATTGTATAATTCACAGCTTAATCATGATCTTTAAATTTATTTTTACAAAGAAATGTCTGTGGTATAATTTTGTATGTAACAGTTTTATATATTTGTATGTTTAAACTAAGGTATAATGTTCTGAATCCTGTTTGCAGTTATTGCACACTGAAGATGAGTGTTGTACATCCGAAACGTTTTGTGTTTTGAAGATTAAAAGAAAGAAGTTATGATGTTATTGTTAACACTGAAATTTACACACACACACATACATATATACACGTATATATACATGTTTTTGTGCGCGCGTGTGTGTATGTCTTTGTTTTTATAAGCGTGTGTTCGCGTGTTTAAATGTGTATGTGTGTGTGTGTGTGTGTGTGTGTGTGTGTGTGTGTGTGTATGTGTATGTGTGTGTATGTGTATGCTAACCTGTTTGTATGTATGTGAATATATGTTCGTGTCCTAGATCTATAAAGAAGTGCAAAAATTCTTACCCTCGGGATAATTGACGAGGTCGGGCACATCACTGAACACGGTGGCGCATGATTCCTTCACCATCTGGCCAGCTCTCGTCGGCGGCCAGCAGTAGAGCGTGTCCCAGGTTGTGTTGCAATAGACGCCTGTGGATGATATTTGTATTGATATTATTCTGGTTCGCTGGCTCTCCCCTTTCAT